GAATGAGAGCCTTTGACTTTTTCCTTCTGCATTTTGTCTTAGCATTTGACTCATATTGTACTTGCTGGCATTATTAAATTCTTCTCAGCTTAAGACTTTTGGGGGCAATAAGTTTTACTCTTAAATAATTTGCTTCCTGAACACTTTTGTTAGTTGTGAATTTTTAAGCATAAACTTTATTTTGCTTGCTTTGAAATTCCAGTAGCCTTTAAGATAATCAACATGGCTTCCTCGTCACTTAGCTACAATTTGTACGTAAGTACCTTTTACATTCTCTGGGGCTCTCTGTATAAGGATCCGTAGTGGAACAGTGGTTAAAGGGCTTTGCTTCTGACCAAAAGATAGCTATTCAGACCCACCTGCCACTCCATAGGCAGAGCTGTGACAGCCTGGGTCTTTATAGATTTGCAACCTTGGGAACCCTATGGACTAGCTCCACCCTGTCCTGTAGGGTCATTGTCAAATCCTTTCTCTTAGACTACCACATCTTTCTCCCCCAGAGCTAGTGAGTACTGGGGTGTTCAAACCGCCAGTCGTTCAGCTAGCAGCTGAATACTTAACTACTGGGGCGCCCTCTTCATAATACACTTCATTTCCAGTTTACCAATGTTTAGATTTACCAGCTGCATAGATTAGAACAACTGCAAAAGTAGCGGGAAGACAGCGCTATAACTGACTACAAATCCCATCTTTAGAAAGAAGATTGCTTTCTGATTGTCTATGGCTCTGTTAAATCCTGTCCACTCCTGCATTCTGGTCAGCCAGGAGCAAGAAAAGGTGAACCCAGATCACACCATTGCCATGAAGCTGATTCAGACTCACTGACCCTGTGGTGGGGAGTAGAGCTGCTCCTCAGTGTTTGTCTCCAAGACTGTCAACGGTTACAGAGCAGGCAGCCTCATCTTCCGCTAGAGAAGAAGGGATTGGGTTTGAACTGAGGCTGTGACTCTTTACTGGAGCAGATAGCCTCATTTTTTCTTCCAGGGAATGGCTGCCGGATTTGAACTGCTGAACTTGCAGTTAGAAGCCTAGTACCTACTCAACAGGGCTAGCAGTGTTCCTTAAGAAATAGGGTATGGGGAGCATCATTTGGGAGAGAGATTCCCTTTGTGTCATATTGTTGTTGGTATCATTTATTCACTTATAACACGTGCAACAGAATACAGCACTGCCAGGCCTTGTGCCACCTTCATCATCGTTTCTGGCTTCGAGCCCGTTGTTATAACCACTCTGTCAGTCCATCATTGGAGGGCTCCATCTTTTCTGACAACCCTCTACAAAACGCCATGTCCTTCTCCAGGCACGGGTTCCTGCAAAGTGCATGGGGCAAAGTCTCGCCATCCTCACTTCTAAGAAGCAATCTGGTCATACTTCTTCTCCCAGGACAGATTTGTTAGTTCTTCTGGGGTTGTGTGGTCCATTCAGTATTATTCAGCACCATAACTGGAAAATACCAGTGCTTGTTTTTATTATTGGCTGTCTGACTTTTGCGTGCACGAGGTGACAGATAATAGCGTGGTTTGGATTGTGTGCACCCTAGTCCTCAAAGTGCCGTCATTTCTTTGAAATACGTGTGCAGCAGATTTGCTCGATGCAGTGTGTTGTGTAACTTTGTGACTGCTGCCTCCATTGGCATGCATTGTGGTTCCGAGTGAAAAGAGAATTCTGAGAGCTTCGTTGTTCTCTCTCTATTACTGTGCTGCTTACATGTCTAATCGAGGGGACTTGGGTTTCTTTCTGCTGAGCTGTGATCCATACCGAAGGCCACAGCTCTTTGCTTTCACCACTGCTTGACCTGCTCTTGACTTTCAGTAAGCGAGGTGTGCCATCTGCTTATGGAAGGTTGTTAGGGAACCTACTGTCACATTCTTCTTCATATTATACATATGATTTTCTAATCAGGGTCTCGGATTAATGTCTCCTCATACAGCTGAAGTAAGTATGGTGACAGAATACAACCATGACACAAACCTTTCTGCATCTTAAACCATGCAGTCGTACTCCATTGTTTGGTTTGAATGACTTCCTCTTGGTCTTTGTACAGGTTGTGCATGAGCATAACTTAGTATTCTGAGTTTCCGTTCTTGACAATGTTAATCCATAACTTGTTGTGGTCCACACAGTTGAATGTCTTCGCATAATCAAATAAAGCACAAGTAAACATCTTCCTCGTAGTCTCTGCTTTCAGTCAGTGTCCATCTGCTGTCGGCAGTAAGATCTTTTCAGAATCTGGCTTGACTTTCTGGCAGCTTCCTGTCAATGTTCTCCTGTATCCATTGTGTAATAGCAGGACTTGCTTGCCATGTCGTACTCTTACTTATCATGTACATTACACATGTGTGTATATAGAAAAGAGCGTTGGTGGTACAATGGATAAGTGCTGGGTTGCTAACTGAAAGGCCGGTTCTTTGAACCAGAGAGACTCATTGGGAGAAAGGACCTGACAGTATGCTCCCATAGAGATTTCAGCCTAGGAAACTTGAGGGCAGTTACACTTACCGTATAGGGTCACTGTGAGTCAGAATGGACTGCAGTGTGTGTATTGTTTTTTCACTTGTCTGAACAGTTTCAGTGAAGCCAGTGTAACCAGTACTGCCTGGATCCAAGAGAATAATGATAGAGAAAGGATTGTGCATTGCTTTCCATGTTTCCTTTTCTTTGGACTACGACATTTCTCTTTTGGGTGGTAGTATCCACTTTTCTTCCCCGTTTAAACAAACAAACAAACAAACAAACAAAAAGGGAATGCTAGTGCCTACCAGTTAAAGCTGGAGCCCTGGTGATACAGGGGTTATAAGCACTCAGCTGCTCATTGAAGGCCAGCGGTTCAGACCCACCAGGTGCTCCTAAGAGAAAGACCCCAGTCTCGGCAACCTGCTGGGGCAGATCTCCTCTTGTAGTCACTGTGAGTCAGAGTGAGTTGACAGCAACGGGCTTGATGGGGGTTGTTGGGGTTTTTTTGTTTTATTTTATGGTTAATCCAAGTTTTGCTGTGTATGTTTGGAGCTTTATAAAAATGACAGGTAAAGAGTGATATAAAAATAAAGTTTTGAGAGTAAAAAGAGATGGAAACGATTGTTTAAAGTACATTTTTTGGTGCTGTTTTGTGGAAAGCCAAAAATAAGCTCATTTTGGTATCACAGCTTAGACAATTATTAATGTTCATTGTGGGGGACCAACCTCCACAACCGAATGGATTCTAAGGGACGGTTGTGTAATTGAAGGGTAAATGAAAGAAACATCAGACAAAAGGAGTGCAGAGTGGGGACCCAAAGTCCATATGTAGCAACTGTACATCCCCTTACAGAAGGGTCACAGGGAGGAGACGAGCCAGTCAGGGTGCAGTGTAGCAATGATGAAACATACAACTTTCCTCTAGTTCTTTGATGCCTTTGATGCTTCCTCCCCTCAACTATCATGATCCCAATTCTACCTTACAAATCCGGCTAGACCAGAGGATGTACACTGATAAAGATAAGAGCTGGAAACACAGGGAACCCAGGACAGATGAGCCCTTCAGGACCATTGGTGAGAGTGGCGATTCTGGGAGGGTGGAGGGAAGGTGGGTTAGACGGGGAACCTATTACAAGGAACCGATTATAGCCCCCTCCCTGGGGGACAGACAACAGAAAAGTGGGGGATGTTGGACAGTGTAAGATAAGACAAAATAATAATTTATAAATTATCCAGGGTTCGTGAGGGGAGGGAGGGGGAAAATGAGCTGATACCGAGGATTCAGGTAGAAAACAAATGTTTTCAGAATGAGGAACAAATGTGCTTGATACAGTGAATGGATGTATGGATTGTGACAAGGTTTGTATGAGACCCCAATAAAATGATTTAATAAAAAAGATGGCAGCTTAATCTTGGTAGTCGCTGAGCTGGCTTAAACTTTCGTGTCCCTGAGCTTTTCTCCAGGGGAGCAATCTCTGATCCTTATCAGAGGGGAGTGGGCCGCACTTAGGGTGGAGTGGCCTGATCGCTCTTGATGGCAGACAGCCTTCACGCAGTGAACCTTAAAGGGTATAGTAGCAACCATGTGCTTACAGGCAGCATCTTAACATTGACAGTATTACGGGGGGACATTGTGGGGAATAATTTAGTTAGGGAAGTGTTACTGGGATTCATCTCCAATTCACAAATGTGAAGGCCTTCCTCCACCAGAGTCAAGGCTTCCCTGAATCCTTACATATGACCATAGAGAATTTGTCTACATATGCTCTTCCTTGTCCTCAGTTTCCCACATTTCATCGGGGCTCTTGTACATTATGTGCTTTGTAATTCTTCCAGTGACCCTGTGAGTTAACAGTGAAGTTGTTGCTATTTTATAAACTTAGAAGCTGAGTCTTAAAAATATCTAAGTAGTATAGACACAAATGCCAAGCTTAACCAAGTTAAGCTTCTTTCTGGTAGCAGTGTGAATGCAGGACAGTGGTGAGAGGTGCACTCGTATTAGAATTCGATGAGAGTGGAATTTCGCCCCAACTCTTCTGGGTTTGATATGCAGACCAGCACATCCCCATTCCCCAGTAATCTTCGCCACAGGCCAAACACATTCCCTGTAATTAATGGTTCGCTAGATTTCAAATGCCATAAAATGCTTAAATGCGTAAGGATCCCATCTGCTAGTATTTTCACCTAAAATTCCAAGATAATTTCTTAACTCTGAAAGCTTCAATTATCTAGTTGGCCAAGAGAGTACTGTCCTTTGCGTTACTGGATTTGTCTGTCACTGTTGCTCTTGCTGGGCCCTTTACCCGTGGCTGCGTAAGAACCGGGAACTCCCTGCTGTCTAGTTGGTGGACAGGGTAGGACGGCCCCTGTGAGTTTCTGAGACTAACTCTTTACAAGAGTAGAAAGCCCGGTCTTTTTTCCACACAACGGTGGGTGATTTCGAACTGCTCGCCTTGCAGATTGCAGCCCAATTCATAACCACTATGCCACCAGGCTCCTTTAATAGTGCAGTTTAAATTATTTATTACGTTATCTGTCTGCTTCAGGTTCCTAGAAGCCAAACCAAACTGACAATCATGCTGGAAAAACTGGGAATGAGTTATGACGGGCGGCCTCACAGTGGACTCGATGACTCCAGGAACATTGCTCGGATCGCCGTGCGAATGCTTCAGGATGGCTGTGAACTCCGCGTCAACGAGAAAATGCACGCCGGACAGCTAATGAGTGTATCCTCTTCCCAACCACTAGAGGGCACGCCGGCTCCACAAATGCCACACTTTAGAAAACAATAGGAAGTTTTTTCAGTGAATCTTCCCTCCTAACTGGAGTTGCTGCAAAGAGGTGGCAGATGAATACTCAGTGAATTGGTCCTTTGCAATTCCGAGCACCTTGAACATTTAAAATGCTATTTCAGTTATACTTGTAGCTAGTTATATCTATGTACATGAACAGATTTTGTGGGAAGGGTGTACTGAATTCTTTGTCACCAGCACTTTTGAGATGAGCAGTATTTGTTACCCAGTAATAGTTCCTGCTTAGAACTGAATTTTACAATTTAAGACATCAAGATGTTTTCCTTTTGGTTTTAAAATGCAAAGTTTAATTGGCTCTCCCCTTGAATGTTACCTTTTTGGTGTTAAAAATAGGATACATTTCTACATTGACATAATTTAGATCAAATCATTTCATAAAGTTCAGACAGGACTGGAAGGCAGGCCTTATCTAGTGTATTGTTTTTAGGAAATATCATCGTTCTTGTATGAATTTCATAAAGTATGTGGTACACATACATATATGCCTGTGTTTCTTTTCAACTCATAATTTGGAGACTGGTGCTATATGTTAAGGAGTGTCCAGTCAATCATTTAATTACAGATTAAATCAATGAAGTCTGGAGAAAATTTAAAGGGACACTAGAGAGACAGTGGCTGAGTGATCAGCTGCCCCGCTGGTGGTAGATGTGGCGATCTGCTTCCGTAGTAAAGGTCTTGGAGACCGTGAGCCAGTTCTACTCTGTTCTAGGGTTACAATGAATTAGGAACGACTCGGCACTATGCTCTTTGTTTTGTTTTATAGTTTGAGCTTTATATTACGTAGATAAATCAGTGGGATTTTAAAAAATTGGGGTGCTATTGTTCATCTTCCTCTTGTTATATATATATCTGCTCTTAGTTTCTTAAATCTAGGAGACCATGCTTTCAAATAGACTTAAAATTAAGGGTTGCCACTTAATTTTGCATTTGAATTCAATGTTGTGAGTCATATTAATAGGTCAAGTAATGCTTTCTACCATGTCTTATGTTTTGATTATTGAGAATAAAAGTAACCTTGGCCTTCACTAGAGTTAAGCCAGGAGCGTGCTTGCTTGATCTGATCGGACACCGGTAGGGACTGCTGGGATGCCCACGTGCCACTGAGTTGGTTCTGACCACCGGTGGACAGTAGAGCGACACCCAGCCCGGGCTCTGCCATCCTCACAGTCTTCCCCATGCGGAGCTGGTTGTTGCCACCACCGTCTACATCCCTCTGAAGACTCTTCTTCCTTCCCTCGCCTTCTGTTTTGCCGAGCATGGTGTTCTTCTCCAGGAGTGGTCTCCTGATAACATGTCCAAGCACACGAGATGAAGTCTCACATCCTTGCTTGTAAGGAGCGTTCTGACTGAACTTCCTCTAAAACGGGTTTGCTTGTTCTCCTGGCAGCCCATGGTGCCCTAAGTACCCTTCACCAGCACCACAATCCAAATGTCTCGATTCCCTGCCGGTCTTCTTCATGTATTGGCCACCTTTCACAGGCGTGCAGGCAACAAGTAGCATGGCGTGGGTCAGGCACACATTAGCCACGGGCTTGCCTTCTGACGCCTTAGGTTGTTTGTCCCCATTTGCCCAGGACAACACACCCTCCAAGTTCCCAACTGCCCCTTCCATGGACATTGACTGGCTCCAAATCAAATGAAGTCGTTGCCGATTTTAATCACTTCTGACTGATTTTCGGCTGCTTTGTGAGGCTCTGACCTTGCCCCTAATTTCATTTGGGATTTTGCTGAGACCAATGAGACTTACTCTGATTAAGTTGATGATCTTGCACATTAGGAGTTCATCTTTCTATTCTGATTTAAATTTTTCTTTTTTTTTTGTAGGTCACTGCTTTTAAGATATTTCACTGCTAGTGATTTAATTCTGACTCCGAGTAACACTATTGGACAGGGTAGAACTGCCCCGTGAGTTTCCAGAGCTGTATATGTTTATAGAAGCCTCATCTTTTTCCTTCAGAAAGGCCAGTGGCTTGGAACTGCTGACTTTTCGGTTCAGTGGGACTCTGGGAGATAGCTGATGCTGGCAGCTCCCATAAAGATACACAACCTCAGAAACCCACAGGGGCAATTGCACCTCGTCCTGTAGGGCTGCCATGAGTCCGAATTGACTTCAGGGTTGAATTTCTAACAAGCCTCCTGCTGTCCAGTCAATTCAGGCTTAGAGCGATGTCTGAGAGCAGACTAGCTCTGCTCCCAGGGTTTCCCAAGGTGTCAATCTTTCCGCTGGTGGGTTCAAACCAGAGACCCTTCTTTCAGTAAGCAGCCTGATGTTGAACTCACTGCACCACCAGGGCCCATCTAAAGAAAAAAAATACTATTTAGTCTTCAGTGATATCTGGAATCTCAGGTGGCAAACCCAGCAACCCGGTTACTTTGTGGAAGATGAGGCAGGCAGTCTGCTTCTGTAGATTGACAGCCTTGGAAATCTGAGGAGCAGCTGGACTGTGCCCTACAGGGTCACTCTAAGGAGCTCCAGGCCTGCTAAATGCAGGGCCTGGGTTCTAAACCACCCGCCTCTCCCTCCACAGGAGAAAGATGGGGTGGCTCCTGTCAGGGTCTAGTCTCAGGAACTCTACGGTCACTGATGAACAATCAATTTGGTAACGGGGTATAAGATCATAAGTTGGGGTCAACTCCAGGGCAGTGGGGTGGGTTTGGTTTAGATATCAACTTAACAATCGGCAACATTAGTTAGGCCTGTGGTTTTTCATACCTGCACCAGCCTACTGTTGTTCCCAGCTAGTTTTTCCATTAATCATGTTCTCTTGTCTGGTTTTAAAGACCTGCTGTGATTCCAGCCTTCTCATTCCAACTTGGCCTTTGGCACTAACTTCCTCTGTGCGTTGCACATTCAGTGAACCCTTAATTTGTGCTACACACATTCAAGTTTATTTCATTCAGTGCTGGCTGCTTTTTTTGTTGTTTATAGTGTTTTTGGCAAAGAACATAATGTCCAGAATAGTGTAAGTATTGACATTTTCAAACAAAATTTTCATCACTCAAGTATATCCAGTGACCGAGTGGGCATCGACTCAATGGGAGTGAGTGTGACTCATAAAAATGTATGAAAGTTTGTGTGCTCACCTCCCTGATACGATCGCTGAAGACAATGGGTGCATAAGCAAATGTGGCAAAGAAAGCTGATGGTGCCCAGCTATCAAAAGATAGAACATCTGGGGTCTTAAAGGCTTGAAGGTAAACAAGCGGCCATCTAGCTCAGAAGCAACAAAGCCCACATGGAAGAAGCACACCAGGCTGTGCAATCA